ACTGTTATTTAGTCTGTTGAGTCACAAATTTATTGATCCTCAGTTAACAGAGGGAAACATCTGAGCAGCCTGGTCAGCCAGCAGGTCAGTCCATCTGTACAGTCCAGAGCAGGGCTGAAGCGTGGGAACTAAGGGTGAGGCTAAGGCAAATCACCATAACCACTGGTTGGTTCTAAAACAAACTGCAGTGAGTAAAGACCCGGATCCAGATTTGGTGGCTACAGGGGTCACAATGAGCTCAAGTGGCCAATAGCCTTGATTTTGTCCTTTAGTTTGTCCCCTGGGTGGTCCCAGCGGTCATCCAGACACTCCAGTGTGGAGCCCAGCAGAGCAGCCAGCTCAGTGCTGTCTTCCACCAAGTCCAACAGCTCCTTGCTGTCTGGATGGAAGCCTTCCAGCTCCTCTGGGCAGGAGAACAGCTGCGATAGAGAGGCCTGCCGGTAAAACTCTGCCTCTGCCACAGTCACAACTTCCATGTGGGGGAAGGCCTGTCGGAAACTGCGAGCAGACATACGCAGCCGACGGAGCACATCAGAGAGCAGCAGCCAGTTTCTTGGCCTGAGGAAATTAAACAGTGTTTAAGCATGAGGGCCAACAGGGAAGGAAAAACTATTTAAACAGCCATGTCTGTTCTTGGAATCAAAGCTCACCCCTGGGTGAGGGACACCTGGATGTTGTAGCAAGGTAGCAGAGGTCGGTCAGAGAACTCAAACTCAAACATCTCCCTTTTACCATCCTCATCCTCATCCTCTGGGCCTGGAGGGTCTGCCAGGATGTCATAGATGCCACCTTCTTCACTAGACTCTAACACACACACACACAAAGCAAACACTGATCATTATCACAGAAGATGCATGGGATGTATAGGCATGTATCGCTAAAAGCAAAATGTTACTAAAGATGTTTAAAAAAAAGTTTTTTAAGCACTAAAAAGCTGGGCAGTACTCACCACACACAGCGCTGCCGTAGAATTCCCAGTAAAGTCCTGGGTCATCATCTGAGCGGCCCTGAAGGTCAGCAAAATAATCTATGGAGAGAGGAGAGGAGCGCAGCCTGTTATTCAAGAGCTGGAGCCCTAGGGACAGGCAAAAGGGCAAATGCAATTGCCCTTAGAGAGTACAGCAAAAAAAAAAAAAAAAAAAAAAACCGAGCACAGGAAAAAGGAGGAGGAGGGGCAGTGTCAAGAGAGAAAAAAGAAACAAACAGAGCAAATGTTTTGGAGAGGGCTGATGGTCAGGGGCCAGCGGCTGTACCATGGGGGAGGAGAGCGAGTGTCTCCGCTGGGTTAGAGCTGGCTCAGTTCAGAGCAGGGCTTCAGGCGGCTGCCAAGAATCAAACAGGAACCACACACAGTCGCTGAGTGCACATACACAGAGCAAGGGGGAGGGAGAGAGAGAGAGAGAGAGAGAGAGAGAGAGAGAGAGAGAGAGAGAGAGAGAGAGAGAGAGAGAGAGCTGGAAACAAACAAGCAGAGGGAGCTGGGTAAGCACACACGGCGAGAGCAAAGTGTGTATTCAGCACATGCGCGTGAACACACACATTTGCAGAGTGAGACCTGGGCTTTGTGCCAGTGCTGAGGCGTGGGGCGTCTGGCGTGTGTTTGGAGGGATTAACGGCCTCCAGATGAGTGGGACCAGGTGGAGGGAGGGCAGCAATTGCTCGCTCCCACTCATTTTCTCCAGTGCTCCATTTCCCCCCCACCCCGCTCTGTCAGCCTAGCAGCCATCGATCTATCCATCCACGCTCTTTTCAGAATTCAACACCATCTTTCCAGCCGTCTACATATAAATCATTCTGCACTAAACCTGTTCACTCTTCTGCTGACTGAACCTAAACCTGTTTGTTTTCACCCTCTTTCTACAATCTTTTCTCCTGGAGTTGTCACTTTTTTACTGAAGCTTCTGGTGTTTCAGATAATTGGCTTTAACTATTAAGGTGATGATGTAATATTAAGCAGCTGGCTATGAAGGAAGTGCGTGCCTGTATACTTTATTTCCTTCCTTCTGTACGCTACAAACATTCGGACAAGCCCTCTCAACACACATGGCCTATACACAGACCATGTCAGAGTCTAGCGTGGCAGCCTTGTGAAAAGACACGCATGCATACAAAAGCAAAGTCTCCAGCCAGAGCGAAGCCCATTTCCACACGTACGCTGAGCAAACACAGTTGGCGTTGCTAAGTAACCAGATAGAGGAGCTCAGAAGCAGCAGCACGCACCCCGGCGGGCTGAGACTCCCCGTCTAACAGGTGGTCGAGGGGGAGGTAGGGGGCAGGAGGGGGAGGGCGCCAAAGGGGAAACGGGATGGCAGAGACAGACATGTCTAGTGGCAGCTGAGAGGTGGAGGATGAGGATTTACAGAGGGGGACTCATACCAACAGGTCGCACAGAAGTCAGAGCACAGAAAGGACAGTGAATGAGCAAACAGTGAATGAGCCAAGGTCGGGGGCGTCTGGCATCAAGGCTGCTGACTGATCTTTTCAACAATTTACCCTTGCCCCACCTTTATGTACCCAGTCTGGTCAAACAGATATCTAAACAATTTTATCTTTATGCCTCTTTTTGAAGCATTTATGAAATTGCAGATGGGTTAAAAACAAAAAAAATCAGTAGCTGTGTGTGCCCAAGTTTTTATTTTAGGCTTTGATTTCCACAGGGTGGACAATTATTGATTATTGGTTGATTGATTATGGGGACTGTGACTCATGACCTCGGTATTTCTAAATACCTGGCTAAACTGTGTCCATGTTCACAAGCCCGCTGGGATCTTACCAGTGAGGAAGCGCTCCATGCTGTCGCTGTGGGTCATCTTGAGGAGGCTGCGGCCAGAGTATGTGGCCAAGGTGGGGTCGGCGCCATAGGACAGCAGGACTCGCACCACGTCTAGGTGGTCATTCTCCACAGCATCGTGAATTGGCCTGGACACACACAAATGTTCATTTTAATGATAACTACACAGGAACGGCACTGTGCTTCTCATAAACCACTGTGTCCTGTAGAAAGTCAGATGTCTGCACTCCACATTGCTCCGTATGCACTTTGGTGTTTTACTGGTGAGAATTAACACGTGTCATGAAATATATTTATCTGTTTAGATATCCCTTAAACTTTGACCTTGCGGGACATAAAGTACAACGCAATTTGTAGATTTATAAGACTGCCATTCTTCTTAGCAATGGTCTCACCTGTGTTCTGCAATACTAACAATGTCACAAATCTGATAATGGGTTAATAAATGGTTATCAATACACTTTTAAGACCTTGGGCACAGCCTCCTAGAACAGATCCCTTCCTGTAAATTTTAATAACACAGCAATAAATGGAGCAGCCTTTCCTAATAAAAACTGCAGCTAACCTGTCACATCACTGCTCTTGCTAAGCACATAAAAATCAATCAGAAATTTTCTTATGAGAAAACTCAAGTGACTCAATTGATGACTAACCCCTAGTTTGCTCTACTAGGTGATGCAGAAACAGCCACGGTCAAATCTGCATAGTGCACAGGAGAGCTGTTTATACAAGCATACGTTTCTGTGATTGTGTGTGCATAGAAATTGTTTACCTGGTGCCATCCTGTGCACTACAGTTGATGTCGGCTCCGTAATCCAGCAGATGTTGGACTATGCTGAGCCAGCCGCGGGCACATGCCTCATGGAGAGCACAGTAACCGGCATAGTCTCTGTGATTCACCTCACATACTCTGTTCTCCAGACAGTACAGCACCACCTCCTAAAGAGAGCCAGCAGAGAGGGTGATTGTATGGATGTATGTGTGGCGACAACCCAAGCAATACAAGACCAAACACACAAAAAGTCACATCGAGCAGACACATACACAAAGAGTCCTTCCATTTAGAGTTCCTGTGGGAGAGAAATTAGGGAAAGGAGGAAGAGAGCATGTTCCTGTGACGGACAAACACACATACAGACACACACACACACACACACACACACACACAAATGCTCCATAATACTAGGGCTGGCGCCAAAACACATCGATGAGACTAAGTATGACTCAACTCTATTTAGCTTGCCAGATTCTGCTCACGCACATATGAGTGTGTGTTTGTGTGCCACGGTTGGGCCTGGACGTCACTGTGGCAGCCAGTTATGATGGCTGGGCTCTGAACACAGAATAATGGAAGCAAAACAAAGAGATTTGATAGAGGCGCTCGAGAGCTGGAAGCGTTTCCTCTGGTCTAGAGCTGTGACAGTTGGGCAGCCAGCACAAAGTGGTCAGACTGGTTTTTATTGGACAGGAGCAGCGTCTGCTCCTAAACAGAGAGGAAACAGAGATAGAGGACAGCCTGGCAGTGTGTTGATATGGGGCCTGTCTGAGTCAGACAACTGTGTGTGTGTCTCAGCACTGCGGGTATGGGTTTGTCTGTTTGGATATGCAACTTAGAGTGGGACTGGACAGAAGTATTTGCAGACCTTTGGAGAAAAAAAAAACAAACAGAACCCCCCCCCCCCCCCCCCCCAAATATTTTGTTATTAGTACAATATATTGCAAAGATTGCACTGTGCATGAAATTTACGAAATCTTACACAGACAATTAAACGTAGCATGTCCTTGTTGAACCTGAGGAATGACTCTAAACTTCCATTTCTATGCTAATTCTAGCCTGCCGTGTAGTCCAAGTGTTTATCTCTCTCTCTCACCCTGTCTCTTTCAGCACAGCGTAGATGGAGGGGAGAGAAGGAAAGGCAGGCAACAGAGAGAAAACTGACTGTAGAATGACAGAACGATGAGTGGAGGGAAGAACAGGAGAAGTGAGAGGCAACACCCCAACAGATGACAGATAAATGAATCGGTGGATGAAATCTGCCGAGGCCATCTCCTGGACCGAAGCTGATAATAACAAGAGATGAAAGGATGGGGTAGGGTGGGGAGAACGGATGGTAGTGCTAGTATAAAGTGTGTGTGTGTGTGTGTGTGGGGG